GACTTCTGAATATATTTGAAAGTTTTGGTGCTGCACTGCCAAATATCCAACACATATTTGGTGCAACATGGCCAAATCTTTCTTGACGTGTTCATCCTGGTTTTCCAAACACGTAGGGAATCCAGTTTCTGTAATGCAGAAAATTTATACAAAAAATTATGTTCATTCCACATTTGAAGAGTCCCAAACATCAAGTTGAGCATCCATTTGTCATTAAATCACTTGTTTTCTCCAATATATTATGAAGAATGTGAAAGAAATCATTTTGAGTTGTGTTTAGGGTTTTTTTGAGGATAGGAGATGAGTGTGGGTTGTAGGCAAGAGTATGAGTGGGTACACTTATAAAGTCAGAGGTTGTTTTCTAATTCAATTGTGTCCCTTTTTTTTTGGTCGAACAATTGTGTCCCTTATGGTCACTTTATTCAAGGGTGAATAATGCTTTCCTTGTCAGGCTCTTTTTAGATAGAAATGTTCTTTATTTCTTCTTTTAATTATTTCTTTTATCTTAAAACAAACATGTTAGAAGATATTTGGGTCTGTAAATCTGTCTCCCCTTTCCAGGGACTCCATGGTAGACCCTGCAGCTGTGTTTGGGATGCTTTTTGGGAGTGAATATTTTGAAGATTATGTTGGTCAACTTGCTTTGGCTTCTTTGTCATCTGTTGAAATTGAGGAAGAGACGCAGGATCCTGAAGTCCGTAGGCAGAGAGTCCAAGAGAAAATGAGGGTATGCCTTTTACACTGACTGGACCACTGGTGTTATCAAAATGTTGATTTTTCCAATACGCTTAATTAAATCCTCTCCTTATTATTATTATTTTAAAAATAAAAAAAAAATTGTGCAGGCCTTGCAGAAGGAAAGGGAAGTAAAGCTCATAACTATTCTGAAAGATCGCCTTCAACCATTTGTTGATGGCCGTACAGATGAGTTTGTAAAGTGGGCAAATTCAGAAGCAAGGCGCCTCTCAACGGCTGGTAAACCCTTTTCTTTTTCTCCCTCCAAGAGGACTATTTTGTTGTTTCCCATCCAGATTTTTAAAATCTGGAGTTATGAGTTTCTGCCTGATCATCTGACTTAATAACTCGTTTCATTGTTAGCTACTGATATTGCCTAAAAGGATAGTTAAAGCTGCATTTAAATTCTATTAACCAATTTCCTTAAGAAAATGAAGGCTTAATTCTCTCTTCTAACTAAAGTCACAAAGTGACCTGCTTTGTTCAGAAAATAAATAAATGAACTGGAGAAATATTGCATTTTTCTCCAATTGTTTTGGTTTTAATGTAGACTATAAAGCTCTTCAAATGCTAACCAAACAAAACTTTAATTTTGTGTCTTGCTTGCTACAATTTTGCATTAATCCATAATTGATTCTTTTATTAGCTTTTGGCGAGGCTATGTTGCATACGATTGGTTATATTTACACGAGAAAAGCTGCAAGAGAAATTGGAAAAGACAAACGATACATGAAGGTACCATTTTTAGCAGAATGGGTGCGAGATAAAGGACACCAGATAAAGTCACAAGTATCAGCAGCTTCAGGTGCACTTTCTGCTATCAAGGAGTGCTATTTGCTGAAACACAGGCTGCATATCCTTCATTGTTGAATTTTTTTTTATGGCTTATCTTAATTTGTATAGGTGCTGTAGCATTAATTCAACTACAGGAAGATCTAAAGAAGTTAAACCAAGGTGAAAACAAGGAAGAGACCTTAATGAAAGCCATTGAAGATAAGAAGGATCAAGTGCTTAATTCCTTATGGCAGATTAATGTGGTTGATATTGAGTCAACCCTGTCACGTGTCTGCCAAGCTGTGAGTTCCAGTATTTCCTTTGTTAACCTTAACAAAATAATAGTTCTTCCTGCAAGCTATTACTGTGTGGTATTAGGTTAATAATTTGAGTTATATCTTAGGTCATGGTGTTCACATGGTCTTATGCAAGTGTGTGACACATGATTTAACTCATTTGGAAAATCTTATTGGATCATTAACTGAATTCCCCTACACATTTTTTCGGGGTTTTCAGAACCCAAAAGGACAGAGCTGGTAGGTGAATTTCATCTCTTACACTTAGTGTTTGGCAAAGTCATTAAAATTTCTTGATGATTGTTGAGATGGAGTACATTGGCCTCAAATTTGACCTCATTTCTCTTTTACTTGGTAATAAAGGTGGTGCCAGCAGACTTAATTGTAACTGCGGAACCTCATGTGGCATCTAGGAGCTAATCAAATATCATTGATGTGCTCATTTTAAGTTTTGTACTGATGCCTAAGTCTCCCTTAAATTAATGACATGCAAAAGTACCATCTGCCATGGTAACCTTTTCTGATAAATATCTGCCTGTTGTCTGTGGACATTAAATGGCAAACGTTCTTGCATACCAAACTTCAATTAAAACAGACAAAATCCAGTGGAAAAATAAATCAATTTACGGAGTGATCCAAAAGAATATAGGTAGTTTGAATTGAAGGTAGCCTCTAGTAGCATTTGAAAAATTATTCAAGAACTGTTCTTTTTCAGGTACTTAAAGACCCCACTGTGTCCAGGGATGTTCTGAGAGGGCGGGCTAAAGCACTGAAAAAGTTAGGAACAGTCTTCCAAGTAAGCTTTTATTTTCCTTTGAATTCTAGCAATATATTATCCGGGGCCTAAACTTCTGAATTATTTTTTTGGGCCTGATCTGAACCTTTGAAATGAGTAATTGTTATTTGCATATATCGTTACATTTTCATCTAACCAACCTCAAATTTCCATTATTTTTCAGGGTGCAAAGGCTGCTTATAGTAGAGAGAACAGTCTCCGCCATGAAAATGACACCAGAATAGATTCTGCGTCATCGTCGTAATTGCATCATATGAAGAGAGTAATTCCATCTTCAGGGTGATGTATGTGGGCACATCGAAGGTGAAAGGTTGTCTTAATAGCGTCATAGCCATCTGCTGAATTTGGAGGAATATGTTTGCTCTTGATTGGATTAGTTTAGTGTGCACCCTTGACTTGCTTCAACCTTGGCTTGTTTCTATTGTACTCCAATGTGCAAAATCGTATTTAATTGTATTTCTTTTGTATGTATATGAATGAGCTACAGAAATTGCCAGTAGTATTTTTAAGGCGACCAATCTTTCTTACTGAGATGCATAATGATTGAGTGGTCATTTGGCCAAGAAATGCTGATTCAGAATCTGACTTAAAATCCTGTCAATGTTATGGCGAATTTGATCACAGATTTGCCTATTTTAGAATCGTTTCTATTAATGAACTTGCAAAGATGGTGTGGTGGTAATCGCTGAATGTCTAGTTAAATTCTGTTTTACCTATTTACAAATTTTTTGGCAATCTCTCTCTGTCTCTGTCTCTCATATTAGTCAGGCTCAGGGAAAGTCGAATCAATATTTGGGCCCAGTCATATTTCTTTCACCAAAAACATTGGCTGCTGAAGTGGGGAGGGCCAAAGGTCTTTGGGTCTACTGACATCCCTTTCCTCAAAAGCATAGGTTGCTGTAAGATCTTGCTTGGATGTTTGAGTAGTTGACAAACGAGGGAAAGAAAATACAAAAATAGTCAGATGTTTGGTTAAACCATAAGTGGTGGGAGAGGGTGAAGAAAAATGTTAGGGTCAAAAGTTGGATTATCTCCAATATAACCTTCAGCTTACAAGTACTGATTATATATTGTATAACAAAGTTAGTGCCAATCCCAACAAGGGGATTCAGGAGATATTTTATGTGGGTATTTTCATATTCTGTGCACATTTGTCATTCCACTCTGTTATCCTTCACTCTAACGGGCACAAATCCAGTGCATATCCTTTTCTTTAATGAAAAAGTCAGGACCAAGATTGTAGCCATATCCTATCCTAGGATAGCCTACCAAGACATGCAATTCTATGGAGGAACCTAAAACAATCTTATCCTATGCAGGACAGAAAAGCTGACAGAGAAATTTACAATAATGCAATTCATATTTGCAATTGCATATGCTAGTACTTTACCACAACTCAATACTGATTATATTTATACTAATTGCAATTAGTTGTTAAAAGTGGGTAACATATATATGACATATGCTTCTCTCTCTCTCTCTCTCTCTCTCTCTCTTTGAAGGAAACAACAAAATTAATTATGCATGCATTGGCCATACTATACCTTCAATATCCAAGTGAGGTAGAGGAACTTGTTTTGATTGATGGGAAACATCACAAATATCCCAAACAAACTTTCCACTAAAATTCCTCAAATTAGTGCACAACATCCCACATTTCCACTATCATATGCTTGCTAACCATGCCTAAGATCAGACTGGATGTTAGGGAAGGAATAGACTGGCCAAATTATTGAAGGCAAAGGTAGGGATGGTTTGCTTAAGTTAAGGGCTGCCCTAACACCACTTTTCTATATAAAAGAAATTAAAAGAAAGATGGGTATTTAAAATATCACTGTGCATCTTCTCTTTATTCTCCACCAGTGTCCTTTCAGTGGTATTTGGTGTGTTGTCTTTGTCTTTATAGATAATTGAAACCACTAGTCATCCATCAAAGCTATTTTTATACCTAATATATCTTTTTAATTTGAGCACAACCACAGGATAAACAATAACCTAATCACCAAAACCCATCTGCCATCTGAAGTTTCCAATTCAGTCCTCCCGTGTTTACTGATAACTGAAGTCAACAAGTGATGACCAAGCTCAAAAAACTTAAATGGTCAATCATGGTGTCCCAAATTCAAAGTGAAAATTTTGCAACCAGGTTCTCTATAAGACAATCGAGGGGGTATTTTGGTAATTTCGACTGAAGATCATTTCATTCTAAGTACTATTCTGTTAATTAACTATATCATCAGTCCACTAACTTCTTAGACTTAGTGCCCCAACAGGAGGAAAGTGGTCTATGTCAACTTTTCATTAGAATTCAAAACTAAAAAGCACAAAGCTTTGATTTATTTATAATTAAATGTCAATTTTCTCTAAGTAAATTACAATGTTCATTGCATTAATATAGATATATAGGAAGCATGTATCATTTGGTCCACTAATTCTCTGATCTTGGAAGAGAAAAAAGAGCTTATAACCAACAACAAAGTTGCTCAACATGGGTTTCGTGTTCTTCAACAAGTTCAGCATCCTCTTTCTCCTGATTTCAGCATCATTTTTATCAGCCTCTTTTGCAGCAGGTTGGTCTTTCTAAGTCTTCCACTGCAGCCTTTGGTTTTTAATTAGTCATATAACTACATACATTGTCAGAGCTGTTACTAAACAATTGGAGATAAATATATAAACATGTTTATGTATGTATGTATGCATGCATGCATGCAAATGTATGTGCATATAATGTAGCATCGATTCGTCGCAATATGTTGTTGCTGTTGCTGCTGCTGCTGTTATGCTTGATTCTTCTAGGACTGTGCAACAGGCCATTAATTAACTATTATTAACCATATGATGATGTGCTTAATATTTAATTATGCAAGAGAAAAAAGCAGAATTTCACCTTTACAAATATGCATGATATGAACTGCATTTGCAGGTCGAAGTTCCAAGTTTGTCAATAAGTTGGCCAAAGAAGTGGATGCAATTCCAGAGGTTTGTATTTAAAAAAGCTTTCAGAAATTCTTGGGTTATGATCTCCTCCTCCTCTTCCTCCTTCTTCTTCTCGAAAATCAAACCATCTTCAAATTAGTAAGCTTTTTTAGTGAAAATTTTCAGTCAACATATCTCACCATTCAACAAAAATTCCCATGTTCACAGGCCAAGTTTAATTAGTATTGGGTGTAGTGTGCACAAAATTCAAGTTTTGCAGCTGACTCATAATTTGATTTTTTTTTTTTTCGCGGTAGGAAACGTTAGGGAAGCCATTGAACCACAAGGAAGCTGCCATAATCCATGAAAGGCTGCTGAGAGCTAACACCAGAGACTATGGAAGATATGATCCAGCACCTGCTCTTGTCAAGCCTCCTTTCAAGCTCATCCCCAACTGATCCTCTGATGGTTTTAGCCATCAAAAACCGCCGTCGGAGTAGCCTCTTTATATTAACTAAATAAATGAAGTAGCCTATATGTATCCACTACTATAAAGTGTTAAAGAAATGTTCTAGCGTAATTATGTGAGATATATATATATATATATATATATAGACATATACTAAGTTTTCAATTCTTGTATCCCTGGATAAATTTGTCTTTTACATTTCTTGATGCAGAACTCTTCTAGTTTTAAAAATGAAGAACAGGTTGATGGTTTGACATCCCCTCTTGTATGGTTGGTAAAAAGACGGTTAGACCATTCAAACCAAGGAAATTATGCAAATGCGTTCAGTTTGGTCGGTTCGATTTTTACACACACAGAGAAGGTGTAATTTGTGAACAAACTGAAACTGCCATGTTACAGTTTTGGTGGCCTATTTGGACTCTTTGGAAATTTCCTAAACCGATCTAATCACATGGAACCAACCGAATTTATAAAGATGGGCTTGGTTTGGTTTGGTTAGGCTAATGATTCGATTCCTAAAGCGAACCAATGCAGGCCGGATATTTCATCGGTTCAAAGATTCAATTCGAGCAAGCAAACCATCTGATCTTGTGTTGATACAGTAAACTGTCATATTTCATTTAACTTGGAAGCAAAATAGGATCTGACTGTGTTGATACAAGTAAACTGTTCCTTGTGAGTTTAGTTGTTCCTTGTGAAGTTGTGTTATTTTACAAGGGGCATGGATCTTGGCCTCTCCTCCAACCGTATATTGCAGAAATTTGGCTACACATTGATGCTGAAACTCATTCACTGAAAGCATACACGCTTGCTATCATCCTGTAGGCTGGCAGAGAAACCTCCTTTCACAGACAATCCAAAATTAATGGATATGAAACAATAAGGGAGAAAATCTAGAGGAGGAACCAAGTACCAACAACTTCACCAGTCCATATCTGCAAGATTGAGTTGAGATGTATTCTCGGATGATGTACAAAGCAAAGTAGAAAGTTTTATGCAGTAAGATATAAGAAAAGATACATCCCAAGTGCAATCCAAAATAGTTCAACAAAATATTACAATTTAGTATTAACTTTAGCATAGAGTCTATCAATCATTTTGGTATGTGTCCTCACATTATGTTGAAGGCCTTCTGATGTTAAACCAGAAATGAGGTCCCTCGCATCGCACGTTTGATTTTTCCAGCTACGTACAAACCTTCGATAAGAATAGCGAAAATCGCAATGTCCATGAGACCCAACATCTTGCATTTCAAGCTCTCTGAAAATTTTTATTTCCATGTCAACATGTTGGTTTTTAAACAGACCATCCAATAAAACAGCATAAGATTGAATATCTGCAGATTGGCCACAAAGATTGCATCTTAGTGAACAACTTTTGTGCATCTTATATTCTTCCTGCTCTGCAAAAACCATCCATAAGAGCAGTATAAGTAAAGGTAGTTGGAAAAAAGTACCCTACAACAATACTCGTTTCAGAATCTTAAAAGTTAACAAAGATAATGCCGATGACTAGAAGGATGATGATTTTAACGTTAAAATGAAAATACAATATTATGGTACAGTTCATAATGAAGTTCAACAAAACTTCTAAACTAACATTATTTGGACCAACTAGCTCTTAGTTATCTCTTTCCATATTTGAAGAGATCCAAAGTTCGAATCTTTCATCTTCCAATGCTAAAATAGGAATATAGAAATTCTAACTTGTTAACATATATACCGAAGAAACAAATTCTTTTAATGTCAAATTTGAGTAACTTGATCATTTTTATATACAAGCAATAAAACAAACTTTTTACTAAAGGAAGTTGAGGTTCCACCCCAAAACCAATTGGCAATGGGGGGAGTAGCTCAACTTCTTATAAGCCTTGCTAAATTTCTCAATTTTCCAATGTGGGACTTTTTACATTCACATTCTCACACGTCCCCGCACGTGTGGCAAATATTTAAGCCTAGCACATAGAAAACACATATTGGGTGACATGGAGCACGTGTGGCTGTTGGGCTTTCACACGTGGGCTAACCCGCTCTGATACTATAAAGGAAGTTAAGGTTCCACCCCAAAACCAATTGGCAATAGGAGGAGTAGCTCAACTCCTTATAAGCCCTTGCTAAGTTTCTCAACTTTCCAATGTGAAACTTTTTACCTTCACAATGACCACAGATACATAACTCAACAAAATTCTTGTTTAATTGATATTGTAGAAAATGCCTATAGAGAGGAAATGTTTGATTTTTATTTTTATTTTTATTTTTTCATTTCAAGATTTGGTTTTGTGAGCCTAAAATGATAAAAGAAAATCATAGTGCAACCGGCCGAAGAATTTAGTACCAACTAGGCGTCTTTCTTGGGATGTGTGTTTGTTTAAGGCGTGTTAGCATGGTGACCTTAATGGCCATGCGTGCAAGTGGGTGTAATATATGATATGGATAAACGCGGATGATCTTGACTTCTGATAGCTAGAGGGATCGTGGTTGAGGAAATAAATGTTGAGGCCCAAAAAATCCACGCTTCTGCCCAAATAAATTCTCGGCCCAATGCGATACCTTATCGAGAAGAAACCCGATTTGGACACGTGAAAATTCATCATATGCGCTTGCACACATGCCACTCCAAGCGATACGCCACGTCAAGCAAGGAATTATTATTCCGCACCTAATCACGCCACAAGCTTAAGTGGGCCCCAAGCCACTCAAATACCCGGGGCTTGCTTGAGTGGGTTGTGGTATGGATGATGATAAATCAACATGAGGCCCATTGATGGGCCGAGAAATGGAAGTCTCAGGTTGCTTGGGAGTCTCGGGACTCAAGCCCATTTCTTAGGCCCAAACATATGGGTGAGTACAAAAGAGGAAATAGCCCATTAGCTTAACCAAATTAGCCCAACACCTCAACAAAAATAGTCCAACACTTGTTGAGGTTAGCCCATTTATTTTGACAAACTAACCCATTATCTTAGAAGGCCCGTACACTTAGAAAAAGAGAATAAGTCATAGCCTCAGCTCCTTGCTGGAAAAAAACAAAAGCCACGAAGGAGATGTCCACATATGCATAGTTGCTGGAAAGGAACAAGTTCCAAGCACCAAACACCCGAAGAACCAAGGGATATTAACATGCAAGCTGCCAGGAAGAGAAGCACCCTTCGAACCAGCATACATATCCCAATTCCTTTCCCCATCAGACCTGGTCATGGAAAAAGGAAAGAAAGAAAGGAAGGAGATGGTTGGGAATGGAAGTCTCCCACTGAGACAGCTGCGGGAAAGGGCCTTGAGCACCTAAAAATCTCTGATTTTGTGCAAATGGGCAGAGTGAGTTTTACCAAAATAGGATGATTGAAGAGATGAGGGGAGAAAGGAAGGGAAAGACTTTGGCCAAATCAGATAGAAACTATTAGGTTTTCTTGGAAAATGATAGCTTCCAGCGCTTATAAAAAGAGGCATTTCCTGCCCATTATCACAACTCAGATTCAGAGAGCAAGCTTTCTCTCTTACCTGCAAAAACCCAGCAATTTCGTGCACTATTCACACTTCTTCTCCATTTTCCTCTTCTGGCATACCACTTTCACATATGTCAGAAGCTTTGTTAAGCTGCCGGAAGAACATTGTTCTTTCTTTCTCTCTTCTCAGCCAAATCAGCCAGCAAACCTCTTCTTCCTCACCTTAACCCCCCCCATTTCCCCATAGGAAGCCATATTTTCCTCTTTGGTGCTAAACTCATGCTGATTTTGCTTCCATGCCACAAGTCTCTCATGCCAAGCTGGAAAATTTATCTGTAAGCATCAAGAAATCATCTATAAGCAGCCATTATTTTTGTTGGTGAAGGTAACCAAAACGCTTCCTAAGGCTCTACTGTTTTTTCGAAGCGCTTTTGGGGCTTGATTTTCGAACTCAAACACAAGGGGCAATTTCAACAATTCCTTTTATGGAGGCCCAGCCCATTTGCAGCCGCTGGAAGAAAAAGCCCCTACAATAACACCTCTCAGCCGTTGGTTCTTTTACATTGGCAACAAGGCTTTTTTATGTTGTTAACTTGCAACTGAACGACACTCTCACAAATAAACTCAAAAAGTAAAGAATATTTGTGGAGGTATGGATTAAATGGTGCTCAATATAAACTCTGAATCGGAACAAAGAAAATTTTGTTGATATACTAGATGAACGTTTACAATGTATGATGCTTAGGAAATTTGATGAACAACTATCTTATTGATATGATTACATAAAATTCTAAGAAAGTAAAACATAAATTTGAGAGTGCACTTGAGCAGCGTTTCGACTTGTGTTTTGAATGTCCTTTTTGTCTGAAATTGCCCCTTCTATTTGTAGAAGAATATGCCAACCATGTAAGCTCGGCTGAATTTTCTGCAAGTCCTTGCATGTCTTACAAGTCCTTGCATGTCTGACAAGCCCTGGTGGCTTCTTCCTCACTCACGAATCCCAAAACGTCCTTTCACTATTATTTCTGCAAATTTCCTCATGTCATCAATTTGCTCTCGGTATGGGTCCAAATGCCCAACTTGGGCCTTGATTTGCCACATATTGGGGCTTCTCTCTTTGGTCTGGTCCGGTTTTGGGAAAGATTGTAAGTTGTTGGAGCATGCGGGAGATTGTCGCTGAGATATTTGCAAATGCAAGCACACTTGCGCATCCTTTTTGGAACATGACCAAAAGTCACAATTCCACGTCTTCAAATCACGTGCAGGGAGGAGCCACAATTAGACCTTAATGTTGGCCCCTCCATCGTGTGCGCGTTGATTGGCAAGTAATTGCATCTTGGTTTATTTGCTTAACGGTGTACGTGCGCTATGATCATTGCTGGCTTATACATCTTTATTGACTTAGGTCGTCTTGTTTAGCTTTTCGTTTCATTTCTCGACTCGGTCTCTTTTCTTTTTGTAATATAGATTATCACTTATACTAAAACAAAAACACGAAAAATTAACTACGGTCAAAATCGTGGGTTGCCTACATTTCCAAACCAAGGCAGCAACTTTTCTAATGGCTTTTTCCTTCTAGCCTTCTCACTGGTTGATGTGGATGTTATTAAATTATTAAAATTAAATTTAGAGTTTCTTAAGTCTTCTTAACCATACACGCTTCCACTTGACAAACTCGCTTTCCTGCACTTTAAAGTGGCCACCTCAGCACAAAGTTAAAAAGACAAATCTACCCTCCATTCTACTTCAA